CGGTGGAGGCGGCGCGCGCCGCGGCGTGGGCGCTCGTCGCGAGCGGATGCCTGAAAGCGATGAGCGGCGTCGCCACGGAGCTGCGCACGGTGCTCTTCACCCCGGTCGCGCAGGCGTCGGGTCGACGGGTGGCGTTGGAAGTTTTTAATCACGTGCTGGGATTAGATCTGAGCTTTCATCTCGAGCGGCGCACCGGGGCGCTGCAGAGAATCATCGATCGAGGGACGCGCTCGGTGAGCATGGTGTTTCGCGCGGTGGTGTTCACGTTCCTTCCGACGGCGATCGAGCTCGCTTTGGTGTGCGGTTTGCTCTGGCACGCTTTTTCGTGGCACTTCGTCGTCGTCGTCCTCACGACGTTCGTGTTGTACGTGTGGTGGACGATGCACATGACGGGCGTGAGCGCTGAGAAGCGCAAGTTGGCCAACCACATGGACGGGTTATCGACGGGCAAGGCGGTGGACGCGCTGTTGAACTACGAGACGGTGACATTTTTTGGGAACATCGAGCTCGAGAGCGCGCAGTACGATAATCTCTTGCGAGGCTATCACGAAGCCGCGCTCCAGAGCGAGCGGGCCTCGAGCTTACTGAACGCCGGACAGGCGGTCATCCTGGCGTGCGGAATGACAACCATCCTCGCCTTTGCGGCTCTGGGGATTTGGAAGCCCGATCCAGCGATCGGATTGGCTTCACGCGTGGGCGATTTAGTCATGGCGAACGGGCTCTTGCTTCAACTCTGGGCACCGCTGCAGTTTCTGGGTTTCTTCTACAGAGAGTTGCGACAGTCCTTGGTGGACATGGAGGCGATGTTCGACATCATGTCCACCGAGTCAAAGATCCCCGACGGCGCGGTCGAGTTACCCGAGAGCGCGGGCGGCGCCGAGCTCGAGCTCGATGACGTCTCGTTCGCCTACGGCAATGGTCGCGACGTCCTCAAGGGAGTGTCGTTGAAGCTCAAGCCCGGAGAATCCGTGGGTATCGTCGGCCCGAGCGGCTCGGGCAAGAGCACGTTACTCCGTCTTATACTTCGAGTGTACGACGTCACGAGCGGCAAGGTGAAACTTGACGGACACGACGTGCGTGAGCTTACGCTGTCGTCTCTTCGAGACTCAGTCGCGGTGATTCCACAGGACACGGTGTTGTTCAACGACACGCTCGAGCACAACATTCGCTACGGCAGACCGACGGCGAGCGAAGAACAAGTCGCCATGGCGGCCACGCGCGCTAGATTAGATAAGACGATCGAGCAGATGCCCAACGGTAGGCAAACGATGGTGGGCGAGCGTGGGGTTAAGCTCAGCGGCGGCGAGAAGCAACGTGTTGCCATCGCGAGAGCGTTCCTGCGAGAGCCGCGCATGCTCGTAGCCGACGAGGCGACGAGCGCGCTGGACACCGCCACCGAGCAGGGTATCTTGGAAAGTCTCGAGGATGTCGCGCGCGGTCGAACCGCCGTTTTCGTCGCTCACAGGCTCTCCACCGTCCGATCGTGCGATCGAATCATCGTCATGGAGCAAGGGAAAATCGTAGAGGAAGGGACGCACGCCGAGCTCCTCGACGGCCGCTCGCGCGGCTCAAAGATCGGCATGTACGCCGCCATGTGGAAGGCGCAGGCTCAAGAGGAGGAAGAAAATAATCAAAAGCCCGACGATTTAGTCCTCACCGTCGGCTGAGCGCGCGTTGTTTGTTTTAGAAAGTTTGTTTATTTATTTTAACCGTCATCACTTCGCTCAACCGTCGCCACCCCGTCCCCCTCGATCGCGCGCTCGCGCTCCCAATACCCCTTCCCGTACGCCGCGAAGAACTCTTCTCCCGCCTCTACGTCTCGCACCGTCCGAAGCGTCGCCCGTCGATTCGCCGCGTCCTTCACGAACTCGGCGTTTAGCGCATTCGCGGTTCCCGCCGAGTCGTTTACGTATCGCCCGACGTACCCGTAGTGCCGTCTCGCGTCCACGTGCACGTTCAAATGTAACGCCATCACGTACGCTTTGTCCTTTTTCGGCATCGCTACCGCCTCTAAGAGCGTCATGACGTCACCACCGTACGTGACGCCGCGCGCCGTCGAGCCGCGCGGTAAACGCCGCGTCGCGAACACGCCCAGACCCGCGCCCACGATCGTGCTCTCGCCCACGCGCCCGTCGCCCTCGTACGATGGATCACTCGTGGACGCCACCGCGTCCGCGGGAGAGCGCGCGTGGGCGATATCGGGCGGTGGTCGCGCGCGAGAGAATCCCATCGGGACGCGCGCGGGACGCGACCGAACGCCGCGACTCACTCGCAACCGATCTTGGACTCGAACGTGGAGAGACACGCGGCGAACGCGGTGAGCGGACCGAGTGGATGCGCGAAATCGAGCGTGAAGAGGTCGTCGTCGACGCGACCGAATTGGGCGACGACGCGCCTCGATGTGCGGTTCGCTTCGGCGGCGGCTTCGGCTTCGGCGGAGTCGACGACGGCGAGCTGGAAGTTCTTCACGCTCGGCTTGGTGACGCGACCGTTGAAATCGAGAACGTAGGCCTGATGTGATGGGTTCCACCGCGGACGCGCGCTCTCGAGGGCGGTGGTGACGGTGTCGCCTCGCTCGTCCATGACGTTCACGGCGAGCGAACGCGGACCGGCGACGCCGAGGACGTTCACGGCGTATCGAATGTTCGCCAGCGTCCGTCTCGGCGGGACGTCGTCGTCTTCATCGCTTTCGTCGTCGGACGCGTGGCCCAGGTGCCCGGGAGCCCCCCACGCGCGCGGTCGAGCGCCCGCGTCGAACAACTCGAAGCGCGTGCCGATGAAGTTCGCCTTGAGCTTGCCGACGTAGCTCGGATGCGCCTCGTTCACCGCGCGCTCGGCGCCGTCGTCGCCGATGACGTAATGCGTACACTTTGCCTTCTTGCGCTTCCTCGCCACGAGGATCGGGACCGCGTCCGCGAGCGTCGCGGTGGTCGTCTCGCGTCCGTCCAAATACAGGACGTACGTCGGGAACGCGCCGAATAGACCGCGTTTGCGCAGCACGTGACACCGAGCGTGCGTGCCGTCGTTCGGAAGCGACCGAAGCGTGAATCGTCTTTTCGCGCCCGCATCCGCCCACGGAGGAAGCGGCGCGGCGCAAGACATCGGATCGTCGACGCTCGGCGTCGGCGTCCTCCGCCGCGCGTCTCCCGCCCTCGGCGCCGGCGGCGCCGACGGCGGCGGTCCCTCGTCGTCACCGGCGCGCGCGCCCGACCCATCGTTCGCACCGCTCGCCGCCGCCGATCCCTCGCCCGTGCCCTCGTCCGCATCGCCCTCGTCCTCGAGCGTCGGGTGCACCGGCGCGCTGTCCCGTCGACGAACGAAACTCAACCTCGGCGTCACGCGCTCGCGTCCACCCGTCCCGCCCTCGCCCTCGCCCCGCGCGCGCGCGAGCGGTTTCATGTAGTTTTCCCCGGCACCGTCCGCCCGTGCTCGACCCGCGGTCGACATGCGCGCCGCTCGCGCGCGGGCCAAAAATAAATATCCCACGCACGCCGGTTCGCCTTCAACGTCCGCCGCACCCCGCGCGCGCCGCGCCGTTCGCCCGCGCGCGTCCGCGTCGCGCGCGAGTATTTTTCGTCAATCGTTCGCCGCCGCGTCGTCGCCGATCCCGCGTCGCGCACTCCCGCGCGCGCGACGTTTCGTATTCTTCGCCCATCGATCGCGATCGCGCGTGGGAACAAACCCTAAGGCACTTCCCGACGCGCCCGCGAGTCGAGATGCGCGACGACGGCGAGCTGAAGCGACACCTCATCATTCTACTCGCGTGGTGCGGGGCCGTTCGCGCGTCGACGTACGCGTTACAGGCGGTTTTCGGTGAGGATTCGTCGTGATTGTGAACCCATCGCGCCATCGAGCGATGGGGATCGAGACGACGCCGCGGGCGAGGACGACGCGGACGCTGCGAACGCGACGAGGGGCGTGCGGGGTGGAGTTTGCGCGTTCCTCGCGCGCGGGCGCGGACGGAACGTCGGTGGCGTTGGTGTGTGAGTACGAACACGAAGCGGCGGAGGGGACGCGCGCGGGCGCGGTGGGCGCGTACGCGTGCGCGCGTTCGGAGGACGGGCATGGGGTGGATATGCGTCGAGTGGGGGGGGTCGGAGACGAGCCTTCGAACGGTGATGCCATTGGGGCGGTTTTTGAGGCGCGGTGGAGCGCGAGGGTTGGAGAGGAGACGTCGAGGTGCGCGTTCGTGGACGCGAGCGGGTTTTTAACGACGTGCGACGTCGACGTCGTCGAGGACGAGGGCGCGGACGCGCCGGCGATCGCGGCGACGTTGGAGGTGAAATATAAGGTGCAGTGTGGCGGTGGGGGGCTCGGGATGGCGACGTGTTTGGATTGGCGATCGGACGGGGCGATGTTGACGAGCGCTTCGGATGGAAGTTTTCGCGTCTCGCGAGAGGATGGCGCGCGCGTCGAGGTCGTCGACGTCGTCGAGGGGGCGCACGACTTGGAGATGTGGGCGATCGCGTTTGATATCGCTCGAAACGATGTCGCGTACACGGGCGCGGACGATTGCGCGTTCAAGGTTTGGGATTTACGCGACGCCTCGAGGGCGCGGCTGACGAATCGAAAGACGCACGGAGCCGGCGTGACGTGCGTCTCGCCATCGCCTCGCGACGAGAACATCATCGCCACCGGGTCGTACGACGATCACGTTCGATTGTGGGACGTTCGATCGTTGAAGAATCCCGTGAGCGAGCTCAACGTCGGCGGCGGCGTGTGGCGATGTCGTTGGCACCCGACGCGAGACGCGCTCGCGTGCGCCGCCATGGGCGGAGGCGCCGTGCTCTGCGACGCCACCGGTGGCGCGCTCGTGCAAACGTTCGCGTACGACGAACACGAGTCGATCGTCTATGGCGCGGATTGGGCGCGGTTGAGCGATGATCCGGATCGAGAGAGCGTCGACGTCCTCGTCACGTGTAGCTTTTACGACAAGTGCGTCAGATGTTGGTCGCTCGTATAATACATTTTAGGATTCGCGTCTGCGGCTATTTCGCGTCATAATCTACAGTGTACATCGCGAAAGATGCGTTCGCTTCGTCCTCCTCCTCATCCCGCGTCGTCGTCGACCTCTCGCGCCTTGGACGCGCCGAACTGTCGCGACTCGATGGCGTCGACGGTTTTCTTCACGCCCACGAACGTCTCCTTGATGACGTTCGTGACTTGTTTCCACGTCGCCGTGGCCGACTCCTTCGACGGTGACGCGTTTTCGTCGTCCAGTGAAACATCCTCGAACGCCACCGCGGTTGCGGCTGCGTCCGACGTGTCGCCGGCGGACGTCGCGTCGCCGCTCGCCGAGGCGCGTCCGCGTTGCTCTAGTTTCATTTGCTCCCGCACGTACTCTCTCGACGGCAAGCGAAGCGCCGCGGCCCAGCCCTCGGCGTATCCACGTTCGTACTCGTCGCTCGTCGCCCGACGCGCGTCGCGCAGCGCCGCTCGATCCGCCGCTCGATCCGCCTTTTCGTTTTCGCTCTTCATCGCCATCGCGCGCGCGCGACTCTCCGCCATCCCGAGCGCCGCCACCACCGTCCTTCTCTCCTCCTCCGCTCGCGATTCGTGCTCTTTAATCTTTTCTTGCGCCATTTTCAACTCCTCTCGAAGCGTCTCGCGCTCACGAACGACCCGCGCGGTTTCCCGAGCGACCCACAGCGCCTTGGTTCTGTCGTCCGCCGCGTCCCGCGACGCGTCCCAATCCAACCCAACCGTCTCCGCCACCGCTCGAAGCGTCCACTCCCGTCCCATCGTTCGCCCACCACCGTTTCGTCTCTCGGTTCTGATTTCTTTACCACCGCCGCCGTCCGTCCCGCGTCCCGGCGCCGCGCCGCCGCCCGCGCCCGTCAACGCCTCCAACCACCGCGCGCACGTCTCGCTCCCACACGCCCGCGCCGTCTCCAGCGCCGTCTCCCCGTCGTCATTCGTTTCCCACAGGTACCCATACTCAGCCGGTCGAGACGCGAAGACGGCCCGCGAGACGACCGCTCTCGCCGCGCGCGCCGCGTCGTCGACGCAACACAAGTGCAAGAGCGTGTTCCCGCGTCCGTCCCGCGCGCTCACCGGTATCGCGTTCTCTCGCAACAGCGTCTCGAGCGTCACGGCGTCGTTCAACGCGCACGCCGCGAACGCGCGATCGAGCGCGAGCGCGCGCGCGTCCGTCATGCGCCGCGGCGCATTCTCTCGCCGTGGCGTGAAAAATCAATCAATTCGACGACCTCTCGCGCGTCGACGCGGGCGCGGCGTCGCGTGAAAACCCCCGTACACGCGCGCGCGAGGCGTGTCTTTCGATCGCGACGCGACAGACCCCGCGACGCGCGTCGCGCGCGACGCCTCGGCGCGATGCGCGCGCACGAAAGTCCACAAAAAGCCTTCGCGATCGATCATTCATCGCCATCGTCACTCCCTCGCGCGCGCCCACGCGCCCCGGGACGCCGCCCATCGCGCGCGCGACGATGCGTGACCCGTTCACGCGCGCCGACGCGTGGCGCGCCCATCCACTGCTGAATAAACCGTGGTCCAAGGCGCTCCCTGGATTCGGTCTCGGTCTCGCCGCCTTTCTCGCCTACGTCGCCGTCGAGAAGACCGCGAGCCGTCGACCGCGGGCGACGTAGACCGCCGCGTCGACGTCGATCGCCGACGCGAGACGCGGGGTCGCCGTCGGCGCGCGACGCGCGGAGCGCGACCGCACTCGACGCCGCGCGCGAGGTGTAACATTACACGACGATTCCCCCCGCGCCCGTCGCCGAACGATGTCGAGCGCGCGCGCGTTCCCTTCGCGACTCTTCTTTTGCCCGGAGCGCGACGTCGCCGACGCGTGTCGCGCGCGAGGGGTGACGCACGTCGTCGCCATCGGATGGCCCGCCCCGGAGGATGCGAGCGAGGTGCGAGCGACGGACGCCGAGGGCGCGCGCGCGTGACTGACGCCGCGGCGTCGTCCACAGGGCTCGGTGGCGATCGAACGCGTGCTCAGGATCGATCTCGCGGACGATGAGCTCACGGATGTGTTGGAGGCGGCGACGACGGCGACGACGTTCGCGCGCGTCGCGCTCGAGGCGAGCGAGGAACACGTCGTCGTCGTGCACTGTCACGCCGGTGTGTCGAGGTCGGCGGCGATCGTGGCGGCGTATATGATGCGGTGGGAATCGGTGTCGTGGGCGGAGGCGTTGAGGGCGGTGGAGGGGCACGGTGGGGACCCGAATGAGGGATTTCGGGCGCAATTGGAGATGTGGGACGCCATGGGGACGCGGGCGGCGACGGCGCGCGACGCGTACGCGTTGTGGAGCGTGGCGAAGATTGCGCGCGATCGCGATGCGCGTGGATACTTGGAATCGACGAGCGTGCGGCGGGACCCCGGGGCGGGGGACGCGGTGGAGGACGACGCGGGCGGAGGATGGGCGGGGTGTCGAAAGTGTCGACGACGGCTCGCGCGGGCGTCGGACGCGCTCCCGCACGCGCACGGCGAGGGCATAGACGCGTTCGCGTGGAAAAGGAAGAGGAAGGAGGATGGTGGAGGGACGACGCGCGAGCGGACGCCGTCGTGTTCGTCGGTATTCGTCATGCCTCTGAGTTGGATGCGAGGGATCGAGGATGGCGACGGCGGACCGACGCGCGGAAAGTTGACGTGTCCGAGGTGCGAGGTGAAGGTTGGCGCGTTCGATTGGGCGGGAATTCAGTGCTCGTGCGGCGCGTGGGTCACTCCGGCTTTTCAGTTGCAGCGCGCCAAGATTGACGCCTTTGGGGTGTGACGTTGTAACATTGAATTATAAGCGTGAATCTCGCGAGGAGCGTTAAAAGTGAATGGAACCCATCCCCGGGACGGCAGCCATGGCGGCCTCCTTGACGGCTTCGGACACCGTCGGGTGCGAGTGACACGTGCGCGCGATGTCCTCCGCGGTGGCGCCGTACTCCATGGCGAGCACGCACTCGGCGAGAAGCTCGCCCGCGCCGCCGGCGACGATGTGCGCGCCGAGCACCTTACCCGTGGCTTTGTCGCACACGAATTTGACGACGCCCTCGGAATCGTCGTTCGCGCGCGCGCGCGAGTTGGCGGCGAGCGGAAACTTACCGACGACGTATTCGATGCCCATCTCCTTCACCTGCGCCTCCGTCTTACCGACCCAAGCGACTTCGGGGTGGGTGTAGATGACGGAGGGAATGGTGTCGTAGTTCACGTGGCCCTTCTTGCCCGCGATTTGCTCGACGATGGAGACGCCCTCTTCCTCAGCCTTGTGCGCGAGCATCGGACCCTCGACGACGTCGCCGATGGCGTAAATGTTCGGCACCGACGTCTTGAACGAGTGGGGCTCGATGACGACTTGGCCCTTTTTGTTCGTCTCCACGCCCACGTCCTCGAGACCGAGTCCGTCGGTGAACGGACGTCGACCGGTGGAGACGAGAACGATGTCCGCCTCGAGCGTCGTCTGTTCGCCCCCCGCGGAGGGTTCGAGCGTGAGCGTGACCCCACCCTCGGGCTTCTTCACCGCGGACACGACCTTGGTGTTGAGCTTAAAGTCAAAGCCTTGCTTTTTCAGCGAGCGCTGAAACGTCGTGCGAATCTCGTCGTCGATCCCGGCGCCGCAGATGGCTGGCGCGAACTCGATGACGGTGACCTTGGCGCCAAGACGCGACCACACGCTTCCGAGCTCGAGTCCGATGACGCCGCCGCCGATGACCGCCATCGTCTTCGGCACGCGTTTCAACTCGAGCGCGCCGGTGCTCGTGACGATGGTCTCCTCGTCCACGTCCACCCCCGGGAGCTCCGCCGGGACGCTCCCGGTGGCCAAGATGACATTCTTCGTCTTAATCGTCCGTTTCGTCCCATCCTCCGAAGTCACCTCCACTTCATTCGCGCTCGTCAATCGTCCCCACCCCTTGGCGTAATCCACCCCATTCTTCTTGAACAACCCCTCGATCCCCTTCGTGAGCCCCGTCACCGCCTTCGTCTTATGCGCCATCATCGTCCCGACATCAATCGTGACCTCTCCCCCGAACGCGATCCCGTGCTTCGCCATCCCGTGCTTCGCATCCTCGTACTTGTGCGACGCGTTGAGCAACGCCTTGCTCGGAATGCACCCGACGTTCAGACACGTCCCCCCTAACGTCCCTCGTCCCTCGACGCACGTCGCCCGTAAACCGAGCTGCGCCGCCTTAATCGCGGCGACGTACCCCCCCGGGCCACCACCGACGACGACGACGTCGCGGGCGTCGTCATCCGCCGTCGTCGTCGTCGCCATCTTTCGCGATCGTCCATCGATCGATCGCGTCGGCATCGCATTCATTCCCATCCCATCCTCCGTCGTCGTCACCCGACACCATCGTCCGCGCGCGCGCGGGTCGAGCGCGCGCGCGACGAGGGCGACGCCGCGCCGGCGCATCGTCGCCGTCGCCGTCGTCCGCGAGCGCGTCGATGGCGTCGACGGCGTCGATGGGGGGCTGGCGTCGAGGGGTCGAGGCGTCGTACAGACTGTTCGCCCACACGGACCGGTAGTCGTCGTAGTGAGCATCGCACACGCCCATCACTGTGATCTCCACGCGCGTCTTGGTCCGTGATCGCTTTATGTGATCACACATTACGTGTATTCGAATCGTATGGAAGACCCGATGTGACCTGTGTACGGTGCGCACCGAAGCCATCCGGGCGTCGTCCCACGTCTTGGTCCGTGATGGCTGTACGTGATACATAGTACGTATGTCGCAAACGATGGGCAAATCACATGTCGACGCGCGCGCGCGACGCCGAGCGCGACGCCGCCGTCCTCGTCGCGACCTACCTCACGACGCGTGGGTTCACGCGCGCCGCGCGCGCGTTCGAGATCGACGCCCGGGCGGTGCTGCCGAAAAGACGCGCGGGCGATGGATTCGGTCGCGATGTGAAAGATTTAGTCGACGTCGTGCGCGAGTACGTCGAGATGAAGACGCGCGCGGCGACGCGGACGCGCGCGACGGGGGTGTTACGTGACATCCTAGCCGTGATCGACCGCGCGTTGGCGACTGAGGACGACGGGAAGGGGGAGGGGGATGGGACGACGCGGACGCCGGAGCGAGAGACGCTCGCGGACACGCCTCGGCGACGCTCGCGCGATGGCGACGAGGGGATGGCGGCGGAAAGGGGGTGTGGACGACGGAAAGGGACGGCGCCGAAACGGCGCGTGGACGCCGCGGATGGACGGATGGGGACGCCGGAGACGCGGACGGCGGCGGAGACGCGGACGGCGGCGCCGGCGTCGGCGAGCGGACGCGAGGACGCGGGGGGGGGGGGCACGCGGTCGTTTCACATGCCTCGTCTCGCCGATGGACGCGCGGAGCGGCGCATGGCGGATGTGATCGTGAACGCGTTCGGGGGGCGACGGAAATTCGTCGCCGAGAATTATCGCGAGCCGGTGATCGACGAGACGCAGGTGGACCACGTCATGGACGCCCTCATGGCTGAAGAGGGCGCGCTCGGGGAGTTTTTGGAGTCCATGATGAGCGAGGTCGAAAACGCCCTCCCGCCGTCTCGCCACACGAGTCCGCGGGCGACGCGCGAGCGTTCGGCGGCGGACCCGGGCGCGCCGTTCGCCTCGCCTCGACGCGCGAGCGATCTCACCTCCTAGCCCTAGCCCGAGTTCACTCGAGTGCGATGTATGTACCACTTATCACCGCCCGCGTCGTTTGAACGCCCTTTGAGCGCCCCGCTCGCGCGCTCGCGCGTCTCGCGCCGCCACTGTGCGCCTCGCGCGTCGCCGCCGTCATGCGCGCGCGCCGTCTCCTCGCCCTCGTTCTCGCGTTCGTCCTCGGCGTCGTCCCCGCGACGGCGACGAACGCGATGGATTACATTCACCTCGCGAGGACCGATCTCTACGGCGCGTTGGAGGTGCAGCGCGACGCGAACGCGACGATCATCACGAAATCGTACAGACGGCTCGCGTTGATGTATCATCCCGATAAGTTCCCCCCGGGAAGCGATGAACGGGCGAAGCGCGCGGCGGCGCAGAGGTTTCGAGTCATGGCGGAGGCGAAGAAGACGCTGCTGGACCCGGAGCGACGGGCGGAGTACGACGCGTTGATCGATTCCCTCCCGGGATTCGCGCGACCAAAGTTTGGAAAGAAAAGTTTCGCCGATCGTGAGATTGCGAAATTCCCGGCGTGGGCGGTGGTGATGCTCTTCGCGTGGTTTTGCGTGGCGTTCGTGAGCGTGGCGCAGTACACGTCGAGGGCGGCGGATAAGGAGAGTTTGATGAATAGCGCGTTTTTCGCGCAAAAGTTGCGGTCGAGGAATAAAAACGCGCCGAACGGGGAAAAGGTGAGCGCGGCGGCGTACTTCGAGGAGTTTTTGATCGAACACGGTTTGGTCGATCTCACGGGGTGGGAGCACACACTCGGTGGACGGTTGTGGGCTCGAGCGAGAGGGCGGTCGGCGGCGGCGCTCTCGGGAGCGCCGCGCGAGGACGCCGCAGGAAGCGAGGCGGTGTACTCGAGCGCTTCGGAGGAGACGTCGTCGGCGACGGGGACGCCAAACACCGTTTTGAAGAGACGCGGGAAGAAGAAGGGCAAGTCGAAACCCGTCATGTCGACGCAGGCGCGACAGGCGGAGGCGTTGCGGCGCTTGAGAGGCGAGTTGGAAGCGAGACGCGCGTACTTTGGCGAGACGTACGACGAAGATTAGGAGCGCGCGGTAATGGTTCGATATTAAATTTCTAATTGAGCACTTCGAAGACCTTGGTCAGCAAGTAAATCACCGCGGCGACTAGAGACAACTGAAGGAGATCCGTTTTGCTCGTATCATCTTGCTGGAAAAATTTCATTGGATCGTTCGGATTGACATAAATGTTTTTCTCGCCCTCGTCCCCCGAGGAGAACGACTTGGTGAGTTCCTTCAGTCCTTGACTCGCTCGATCCGCGAGCTCCATCGCGTTGAGCGGCAGCGCGTGCGCCTTTCTCGTCGACTCCAGGAGCGCGCCCGCCTGCGCCTCCGTTCGCGACGGATTCACCGTCCACCGCTCCCGATGTTCCAACACGCGTCCGGTGATGAGATTCATCTTATACGTCGCCTCTATGTCCACGCCCACCCGTCCGATATCGTTCGTCCCGTTCAACTCCCACCGCACCGTCGCGACGTCGAGCGTGTCCTTCATTGAAATCTCCGTCACCCGAGTCGTCACCTGTCGCAAATTATTCTCCACATACGAGCAATACTTGGCGTACTTCTCGCTCCCTTTGAATTTCAACACCCCATCGTCGTACTCCACGTCCGGGGCGTACGGTTTCGAGCTTCTCGTCGTCCCACGCGCCGCGTTTATGTCCTTGACGACGCTCTTCAGCGTGTTCTCCACCGCCGGCGACGATTTACACACGAATTCGTCGCACGGCTCTCGGAATCCGTCCACGGACGCGCGGAACTCTTTATCCGTCGCCTGCACTCGCGTTATCCTTCGCCCATCGCGCCGGGGAGACGCGATCGAGGACGATTCGTGATGAATTCCGAGACGCCGCGGCTGACGATGACGATCGACGCGCGCGCCTTCTTCGCTCGAACGCCGCGTGGACGCGCGCGCGGCGAGGCGGGAGACGACATGGACGCGCATGCGCGACGTGCGCTCGGGGCTGACGCGAAAATGCGGTGGTGACGCGCGTCGGCGAGTGCGGAGGGCGGGCGCTGACGAGGCGCGGGACGGGACGGGCGCGGGACGCGAGGCGTGTAGCTTTGCTCGTGTTTACAAGAATTGACGCATTCGCGGATTACACGTACGACGTGGGCGGTCTGCACTCGTCGGAATCGATGAGATCGCACGGGAACACGTCCTTGGGCTCGGGGTAGATCAATTTGGCCTTGCCCGCGAGGTATCGGTTCAGGAGACGCGTGGTGCTCGGGTTGTAGCCCTCGCCTCCGGACATGGTCTCGCCCTTGGTGCGCTTGTCGTTCATCGTGGCGCGAACGCGAGATGCGAGAACCTTTCCGAGCTCTACCCCCCACTGGTCGAAGGAGTTGATGCCCCAGACGAAGCCTTGAACGGCGACGCGGTGCTCGTACAGGCTCAAGAGCTGACCGGTGGTGTACGCGTTGAGCTCGGGAAGCATGATGGAGAGCGACGGTCGGTTACCGCTGAAGGTCTTGTGCGGGATCAATGCGTCGGGGACGTTTTCGGAGCGCAACTCCACCGCGGACTTACCCACGGCGAGCGCGTCGGCCTGGGCGAAGAAGTTGCACATGAGCTCGTCGTGGTTGGAGACGATTTCACCCTTCAAGTACACGCTCTGTTGGCTCTTCACGATGCCGATGAAATCGCACGGAATGGTGCGACCTTGGTGAATGAGCTGGTAGAACGAGTGCTGTCCATTCGTCCCGGGCTCGCCGAAATCGATCTCACCCGTGTCGTAGTCGAGCGGGGTGCCGTCGATGGCGACGCCCTTTCCGTTGGACTCCATCGCGACTTGCTGAATGTGCGGCGCGAGCTTGGCAAGCGCTTGGCAGTACGGCAGAATCGCGCGAGCAGGACATCCCAAGAACGAGACGTTCCACACGCTAAGCATCCCGAGCGTCACCGGGAGGTTCTCCTCGAACGGAGCGTTGGCGAAGTGCTGATCCATCGACCACGCGCCTTCGAGAAATTTCTCCATGGTGTCGTACCCGTACTGCAGCGAAAGCGGGAGCATACCGACGGCGGAGCACACGGAGTATCGGCCGCCGACCCAGTCCCAGAACGCGAAGGCGTTGTCCGGATCGATCCCGAACTCCTTGACGAGCTTGAGGTTGGTGGAGATGGCCACCATATGCTTTTGGACGGCGTTTTCACCGAGCGACGCGCGAATCCACGCACGCACGGTGCGCGCGTTGAGCATCGTCTCAGCCGTGGTGAACGTCTTCGAAACGACGATCACGAGCGTGGTTTCCGGGTCGAGTCCATTCAAAGAGCGCGCGACGTCGACCGGGTCGACGTTCGCGAGGAACCGAAGCTGTCTCCCGCTCGCGCCAACCGCGGCTTCCGGATTCGTGCGGAGCGCCGTGTGCACGAAGAGGGGACCGAGGAACGAACCACCGATACCGATCGCGACGACATCCTTGAGCGGCTTACCCGTCTCACCGATCCACTCGCCGTTGCGCACGCGCTCGGAGAACTCCTTAATCTTTTCCAAAACGTCGTGCACGTCCGGCACGACGTTCCTCCCGTCGACGTTGATCACCTTATCCTTTGGCGCCCGCGTCGCGACGTGCAGCACGGCGCGGTTCTCCGTCGAGTTAATAGCCTCCCCGTTAAACATGGCGTTCACCTTCTCTCTCACGCCCGCCGCTCTCGCGAGATCATACAGCTTCTCCATGGTCTCCGTCGTCACGCGCTGTCTCGCAAAGTCGCAATACAAACCGTCGTACTCGAGCGCCAGCGCGTCGCATCGCGCCTCGTCTCTGATCAAATCCCGCAGGTGCGTCTTATCGATCGCCTCGACGTGCGATCGAAGCGCCCGCCACTCCTCCGTGGACGAAATCAACGCCTTGGCCTACGAATCACGTCCATCGCGCGTCCGAAGCCGTCAGTCCGAGGTTCGATCGCGCGCGCGCGTCTCGCCCGCGTCGCCCGTCGCCCGTCCCCCGCGCGCGCGCGCACCTCCATCACCACCGGCATCGCCCGCCCCACCGCGCGCCCTCTCCGCTCCCAATGCCGCGCCCGTCGTCGCCCGAACTCCCCTCGCCCCGGCGCGTCGCGTCCGCCTGCGCGTCGAAAACATCCTCGGTTTTCCATCGTCAGTCTCTCGGACGCGTCGATCGGCATCATCGTTCGTCTCGCGCCGTCTCACCGCCCACGCGCGCCCTCGACGTCGTCGCCGACGCACCGCGCGCGAGGGTGTCTCGAGCCCACATCCACGGCACCCGCGTCGTCCACGACGCGCGCGTGTGTGCGGATGTCGTCGCGCGATCGCGCGCGATCGCCGCGTCGGACGGCGTGTCTCATATTCACGGACGTTTTACCCCATCACGGCGAATCGTGGGCGACGCGCGCGCGATCGCGTGATGTGTTTCCAGACATCGCGTGTTTCGTCACACAGTATACTCCTGTGGGACGTATACGGGACCGATTTTGGCTACGTGGCGATCGTCGTGGCGGCGTCGCGGACGAATCGTTCGTGATGCGGTAAAACGTCCGTGAATATGAGACACGCCGTGACCGCCGTGACCGCCATCGCGCGACGCGGCGCGGACGATGGCGACGACGAGCGCGGCGCGCGCGCGCGTGGGCGTCGACGGGCGCGCGCGACGGGTGCGCGTCCGCGCGCGTGGGGGATTCGCGGCGTCGGCGCGCGCGTGGGGGAGAACATCGATGGATGGATGGCGCGGACGCCGCGAACGGGGACGGGCGACGTCGGCGACGGTCGAGCCCGGCGATCGCGTCGTCGTCTTCGGGGCCTCGGGTGGGGTGGGACAGATCGTCGTGGCGATGCTCGAGGGGGCGGGGTACGACGCGGTGGGGATATCGAGGCGGCGTTCTGCGGGGACGCCGCGCGGGGGGGAGAGGACGCGCGGGACGGATTGTCGAGATTACGCGGCGGTTTCGAACGCGTTGGATGAACGCGTGCGAGGGGTGGTGTGTTGTCTCGGTACGACGGCGTTTCCGAGCGCGCGGTGGAGAGACGCGGATGGAAAGTTTACGAATGGTCCCGAGGCGACGGATTACGTGAGCGTCTCGAACGTCGTCGAGGCGGCGAAAGAAAAGTGTCCGAATCTCAAGCGATTCGTCTTGGTGTCCAGCGTTGGGGTTTTGAGGACGAATGTGATGCCGTTCATCATTTTGAACGCGTTCGGTGTGCTCAAATGGAAGAGAGAGGGAGAGAAGACGCTCGAGGCGTCCGGCTTGCCGTACACCATTCTGCGTCCGGGTCGACTCACCGACGGTCCGTACACGTCGTACGACCTCAATACCCTGCTCAAGGCGACGAGTGGGACGAAGCGAAACGTGCAGATTGGAACTGGGGACGTGTTACTTCCCGAGGCGACGTCGAGGATCGTCGTCGCCCAAGCCGCGCGCGCCGCGCTCGAGTCGGACGCCGCGCTCGGACGCGCGTTCGAGCTCGGCTCCACCGAGGGTGAAGGCCCGGGTTCGGACCTCGATAAGTGGACCGCGCTCTTCGAATCCGCGTCTTAATTTATAAATTAAACGAAACGCACGTCATCGATCGCGCTCGACGCATCGAACGTCGTCAAAGTCTCGTTTCTCTTCGCCCGCGCTCATTCGCGCGCCGCGCCGCCCCCGACCGCACACCGCGCCTCCTCATGCCCCCGACATCCCTCGGATGCAACGCCCTCGTCCGTGCCATACCGCGCGCGCGTCTTTGCACAACCCGCTCGTCACGCCGTGTCGCTCTTTTCTACTCAGAAAACGACGAATTCATCGACCAAGCATCGAGTTTTGATGACTTTTTGGTCCCAGAGCTCGCGAGCGCGTCGTTAACGGTCGATACATCGTGCCCGATCGGCACAGGCGCATTCTCGGAGGTCTTCATAGGAATCTACGACGGTGACGACGTGATATGTAAGCGATTTAGGTCGGACGTGCGAGGTCGAGACGTTGAATCATTTTATGTAGACGAATTAGAGAGCGCGCGGGCGTTGAAGACGTGTTCAGGCGTGGCGCCCTTCATCGGAGCGTGCGGGTTGATGCAGTGGCTGATTTGGAAAAACGTTGGAACGATGACGTTGGAAAACGCGTTAGATCTCGGAGTCAACGCCCTGGCGATGGTACGGAAGACGTTGAATCGAGAGGAAAGCGACGCGGCGACGCTGCGATTTCTGGCGCGAGAAATGTTTGAGGCCACCGCAAGCGTGCACGGGTTTGAGTTCATCCATCGCGATATCAAGCCGGCGAACGCGATTATAGACGAGAGAAACGGTAAAATTGTGTTGTGTGACGTCGGGGCGTGCGCGGACGTGCGAACGGGGAGGAACATGAGCGGGGACGAGGCAATTTTTGATCCCACGTATGGCGCACCCGAGCAATTTCAAGTTGTAGCAAAAAGGAATTCTACGTTCCCGAACATCGGCGGTTTGTTCGGGAGAAAGCCGGACGAGGCGGAGACGTTGGAATACGAAGCGACGGGCGCGACGCCGACGGAACTTCTGGACGCGTTTAGTCTTGGCGTGACGCTGCTTCGCGTGGGCGTTCCGAGTCTACGCTCGGCGGGCGCCATTGCTCGCGCGCGGCGAGACATCGACGCATGTGGGGGCGACGTCGAGACGTGGCGAAGGAATGTGTGCGTTCCGGGCGTGAACGACTGGTCGTTAGTGGACGAAACCGGCGTGTGGAACCTCATAGCTCATCTCACGGATCCGGATCCAAGCGCGCGTTTGTCGGTGCGACGGGCGCTCGACGAGGATTATTTTTTCAGGCAATGACCGTCGAATGTAATTAATTAACTCACCCAAAGCGCGAAAAGGGCGATAACGGTCGCGTTAAACGCGGCGTGCACCGCCATGGACGCTGCGAGATTTCTAGTCCTAGCGTACACCAATCCAGTGGCCAAGCCCACGACGAGCAACTGTGCGGTGTCGCCGACGCCGTGCTGATGGACAAGCGCAAAGATCACCGCCGAGGCACCCACGGCGACGGGCGTGGAGACGTACTTCGTGAGTGATGGCATGAGGTACCCTCTGAAACAAATCTCCTCGAAGATTGGCGCTAGGACGACGGTAGCGACGACCAAGCGGGCGACGCCCTCAGGTCCAGCGTCAAAGGATTTCGCAATGAGCTCCACCGACGATGCACCGTCGGCGTCGCCGCCTCTCAATCCGGCTGCGTAGAGAATCCACGTCACGAGGGCCACGGCAAGGTAGGTCCCGATGACCGCGCGCCCGATCTCGCCTCCGGTGTTCGCCCGTCGCTTCTCCAGGGCATCCGCCTGCGCTTTGCGCCGCTGTCTCACGAACATCCCACCCGTCGGCTCGTTCTCTGGCTCGATCGAGATCACGTCGTTGAACCATCCGCGCGGGAGCGGAACGAACGGTGCGAGAGAAATACCCAGAACGAGTAACCCCAATCCCGTCTGCATCGCCTCCCCTATCAAGAGCGCGTTCGTGAAGACGTCAGCGCGCTCGAACGCTTCCTGGAACTCACGCGCGAACACCTCTGGGTCGCTGTCACCCAAAACAGCGTCACTCTCCAAAACAGCAACGACCGGAGAGACGATGCCGGCAACGTAAAAGCTCGCCTCTATCGACAGCGCGGTGATGAAGATTCGCAGACCACTCCATCGCGTCTCCCACCGCGGTCCGCACCCGAACGCGTCCCGCTCGACGTCGTACTCCGCGTCGCACCACGGCGTTCGGTCATCCTTCACCGTCGTCGCCTGCGACTCCGTCTTCGATCGATCGTCGATCATAGTACTACCATCCGTCGTATCCATCGCGTTTTCGTCGAAACGCCCGAGCACGGCGTCCAGGGCGCTCAAAGAATCATTTTTTGGCGACGTCGAGCTCTTCGCAACATTTCGATGAATACTGCCTCGCTCGTCGTCCACGCTCGACGCGACGCGATGAAACCTGTGGAAACTGCGACGGCGCTCGTTCCTCGACGGTTGACCTCCTCGAACGGCGCTCACGCGAGGACAGATCGCGAGCGACATCGCCGAGGTGTGACGTCTCCGTCAACCAACCTGACCGGTCGAAATCGATCGGTACTTTAATTTCTCATCGGTCGACGCGCCTTTTAAAATTCGCTTCACCGAGAAAAGAGCACCGGTCGATCGACACTCGGCGACGCGACGACCGCGACATGTCGAACCAAAATCGACTCCAAGTCGCCCCCACGGTGACGCAACTCGCCGTGATCAAGCTCCGCTTACAGGGCGCGGTCCGAGGTCACGCGTTACTGAAGAAGAAGGCGGACGCGTTGACGTTGCGACACCGCGCCGTGTTGAAAGCGATCGTTGAGAGAAAGACCACTCTGGGAGAGATCATGCGCGAGGCGCACTTCTCGTGGACCCGAGCGCGACACGCGGGCGGTGAGAGCGTGAAACACGCGGTGTTGGACGGGGTCGAGCGGGCGAAGGTTCGCGTGCGTGCTTCGGAGGAAAATGTGGCTGGGGTGAAAATTCCAAAATTTTTCTTGCGGGACACGGGCGCGGAGCAGCGGCGGATGGAGCTCGCGGGTCTGGGGCGAGGCGGGGCGCGAGTGAGAGAAGCGAGAGGGGCTTTTGAGAAAGCGATGACGTTGTTGAGTGAGTTGGCGTCGTTGCAGACGGCTTTTGTGACCCTGGATGAGGCGATTCGGACGACGAACAGACGGGTGAACGCGTTGGAAAATTATGTGACACCGCGATTGCAAAACACAGTGAAATACATCTTGGGTGAACTCGATGAGCTCGAGCGGGAGGAATTTTTCAGGTTGAAAAAGGTTCAAGCAAAGAAGAAGCGGGACGTGGAGCAAGCGGAGCGGGAGGTGGCGGAGATCGTTGCAGACGACGAGGCGTTGAGGATCGCTTCGGAGGAGTTGCGAGCGTACGACGACGTCGTTAGAGGCGAGGGTGGTCGAGGGGCGGGCGGGAATCTCATTGAGACGGAACAAGATGAGGATTTGTTGTTTTAGACGACGCGTACGCGGTGAATGAAACCGCGCCGACTGTACATTTTTTACCGAGGCATAGAGCTGAGACGACGCCTAATTTGTGACTGATTCATCAACCATCGATCATCGACGCGCTTCAGTTCCGACACGCAAAAAAACTACATACGGGAGCTCGACGAGATGTTACAAGGGTGCTAACTCGGCGTCGGCGAGGTCCGGCAAAGGAAACTTGAGAAGTGCCGCGACACCGGTGAGTTGTTCGAGCTGCTCGCCGCTCGCATGCGCAGAGGAAAACACGTGCGTCACACCGCCGGATTTCGCGATCTCCTCGGTGACTCGGACCCACATCTTCCTATGCGCTACGTTTTTTGTTCGAAACGTGCCGTCGGTGATCAAAAGCTTATCGATGGCTTGTAACTCGTGCGCCGCCATGACGTGTGCAGGACCGTAAAACGCCCTCGCGGGATCGTTGGCGAGCATTTCGAAGAAATCGTCGAGAGCCTTCACCTCGCTCGCCGCCTTTGTGTCCGCAATCAACGCCCGAACAGTCGGGTTCTCCAATACCTCGCTCAGGGAGTGAACGTACGCGCTTGACGAGTGCGCCTTCACAATTCGATTGAAATTCGTCTGCAGGGTCTTCCAGTTTCTTCGCACCGCCTCGAGCTTTAAAAAATCGTAAAATGTATCCTTCGCAAAACCCGGGCCTGCAATCACGAGGCACTTTACCCTGTCGAAGTCTACGTGTCTTTCCACCACCGCCGCGACGTTGTTGAAAAATTTCGTCTCCGCCTTTTCGTATCCCATGAGCGCCATCCCCCGTTTCCTCGGCATCGACGCCTCGATCCGTCCCTTCACGATCGTCCGCGTCGGACTTACTAAAACAACATTCGCCTGTCCCTCTACAATAAGCACCGCCGCGAGATCGGCGGTCGTGGACGGATCCGCCGCCTCCTCCAATCGCCGCACGTCCACCGCGTCCCACTCTGATTTCTCAATCTTCACACCGCGTCCGATCGCAATCTCCAGCGTGTGATACGCGTTCAGCTTGACCTCCTCACATTCCGTCTGATTTCGCCCTTTTATTCGAATCGTCGACCCTTCCGCGTCGTACTCGACGTCCTCGCATCGTACTCTCAGTGTAATCCGTTTTGTCTTCGCGCTCGAGTCCCGAACGCGCTCACCCTCGAGACCCTTGATCTTCCGCGTCGTCGTGCACTCCACGTCGTCGTCGACGGATATTAAATTGTACACGTGCCAGATATCATCGGGGTTCTCCGGGATGACCTGGATCGCGCGTGAAGCGAACGGTGCGATCGTCAGTGTCCGGCGCGCGCGCGCCTTTCACGCGCGAGTCATTCCAAATCAGCATGAATCGTCTCCGCACGCGCGTTTCCCGCGCGTTTCTTCGCTCAAATCGCGGTGCGCACCGACCTTGATCCATCCTTTGGCGTCGCGCTCGAACGCCCTGGACGTGATCTTCATGGCGCGCACCGTCGGCGCGTCCGAGAAGTGAGGTTCGACAGTTGCCCGGTGGAGGCGTACGCGCGCGTCGCGGCGACCAGAGGAGAGATTGTCGACACGTGCCGTTGGCTTCGGGCGTTTGATGCGCGACCGTGGATCGTAGATGTTAATGGCGAACGATTCGAGGCACGTCGGTGTGAGAGACGTCCGAGCTCGAGACCGAGACGTAACGCGCGAGAGTGCGAGAACGCGAGAGTGTTAGTTCCGAAGGCAACAAAATCAGGAGACATAAATAGGATGTCGAAGCGACGCGAGGTCAGTCGAGCGAACGGTCGAGCTGGAGTGCGAATAGATGTGGGCCCGCGTGTCGAGATCGACGTCGATCGGTGCGCGAAAGCGGGAGAGAGCAGTGAGAAATGGTGGACGGAGACGGAGAGACGGATCCGGAAGAGCCGGACGGATCGTCGTAGCGGCGACGGTGGCCTTTCTCGTCGGAGTGCGCGCGCTCAAGGACGGTGAGAAGTGTTTTGCTGATTTTCAGTGTGATAGTGGTGTTTGCGCGACGGCAGCGGAGGTGTCACCACCACCGAGCCCGCCAACATCGCCAAGCCCACCGGCGCCACTGAGCCCACCGCCGAATCCGCCAAATCCACCAGCATGGACGAAACCAACAGCGCCCATAAGCCCTACTGCACCATCTCCTTATCCACCGCCAAGCCCGCCGTCACCGAGCCCATCACTACCGAGCCCG